TGGTGTTAGGGAATATCTGTTTATGAAAAAGAGATGAAAATGGCCCTGAAGGAGATATGGGAGAAGAAGGAGAAGAAGCAGGGGGGAGGAGGGGAGGAAGAAAGAGAAGAGAGATGGATGGAGATGGAAAGAGAAGGCAGAGGAGAAATTAATCAAAGCACAAACCAAACAAGCAAATATATGAAAAATTTATTAGAAATGTTTCATAAACACTGAACGTTTCTCACTGTTTTCACTAGAACTTCTTCCTGCAGAAAAAAAAATAGTTCCTATAAAAAACTGACTTAACTAAAAAGAATAAATTATTATGTGTTTAATATTCAATCCAATTTGTTTCCAGTGGTGACACACACGGTTCCTCAGACCACAACATGCGCAGTAACAGCGTGTGTCTCTGTTGCAGTTGAATGCACGAGCTGATGTGGTCGAACGACAGATATGACATCTGGCCATTGTTGTACATCTGTGTGTTAAGTCTCTTCATGTCTCTCTCTCTTTAATCCAGCGGAGATAATTCGGGGGCTAATATGATTTGAGTGTCGGCCATCAGACTGTCGCTGCCACAACAAGCGTCGGCAAATATTTAATAATTTGCTAAGCTGATTAAACAATTAACAAAGCAACAATTAATTCTCCCATCTAATGGCACTAATTTGTTGTTTTCTGACAAAGGTGGTTCATCCGGTGGGCTGGATCCCCCTTAATCAGCTGATTAGTGCCGGGAGGAATTTGGTCTGTTTGTTTGGTTTTTCTGTGTTTTTAGAGGGGAGGGGTTGGAGGAGAAAAAACTGGATATACAGATGAAAAATCATCTGTCAAACACAGTGATCCTGCTGTTTTCACTGCGCTTGTGTTCTTTGAGCTTATGTTGTGTCACTGGGCATTTATTTTAATGTGTGTGTGTTTGTGTGTTTGTGTGTTTGTGTGAGCATCCCCGCTCCATTTAATTAAAACAATAATAACACGATCAGCATGAAATAAAACTGAAAGCTGAAGGATTTCAAAGAAACTTTGAACCTCTTGGTAATCCTCTTAGTGTTTCCAGGACATCTGTGATGCACACACTCTGTCTTTCTCTCTCTCTCTCTCTCACACACACACACAAAGAGACACCAACACCCGTACAAGTCAATTCATGAGTAGACAAATTCACACCTACATGTGTGCTGTTATATTTCCAGGGTTGATTGGATTAGCAGAGCTTAATTGTTTTTGTTTCATCACATAATATTTGCCTGGTAAAAACTGTGTTTGCAAAGTTAAACAACAAATCTCATGAGAAATGTGTGGGGAAAATATGTGACTTCCTCACAGTCCTGTAGCACTCACCTCCCTCTGGTTTTCTACCCAGGGCATGGCGTTGGTTCTCGCTCCGCTGCGTGGTGAAACGCTGAGGCTGTTCTGTCAGTTGGCCCAACAGGCCGGACTCTGCGTCTCTCAGCACCAGCAGTACGACGCTCAGGTCTGGGAAGTTCACTTGAAGGTAAGAGGGATAGAGAGATAGTGACTCTGTACTGGATTCTGTTAAAATGAGACAATCAGGTTTTGCTAAAAGAGATTCACATGCAGACTGGAGGACACTATTTTATCTGGGTTAAGAAACAAGCGACAAAATGCATTTAATTATTTTACATTTGCCTCTGTTGAACTTTGACAGTAGCCATTAGCCTGTAAGCATCTTATTATAATGGACCTGCCATAAAATGAATAAAACACGGTAAACTCAATTCAGTTGCAGTCTAGAAAATGCTATTTAATAAAGGAACCAAAAACAATCCAGGTCATAGAACGTACCCTTGTGAATATCCTTTGATACTAAAGCCTCTTTCACTGTTCTGTAGAAAAGTTACAAACATTAAATTTGGGGGCGTTGTTGTTAGGCCTCTATATGTGTTAGAGAAGTAGTCACAGAGCCAAATCAATGTCTGTATGAAAGAGAGAGCAGCCACAGGACGCTGATGCGTTACACATCAAGCCTCTGAGTCCACAATGACGTCATGCTATTAAAAATCACACAAAGGGGCGGCAGCACGCCGGCTTGTTTGGTTCAGTGTAAATGAGGTCTTTATTTTATTATCTCTTACAGCTGGATCTCTGTATGAAAGTGAAACAGTTTGTTAAAAACAAGCTGCCTTAACTTGACAATGTGTGTGAGAGAGGAGAGAAAAGCCGAGTGAAAAAGAGAAAGAGAGCGACAGAAAGCACACAAGCAGGCAGTGTTAAAAGAAGTGGTGTCCAGCTGTTATCTCCATTACACACACAGCTACAGAAGAACAGGACAGCAAGGAGTAGGCTAAATTGGTGCACACATGTTCACCTACACTGGTGGGACAATTGGACAGACTGGCCATTAAAAAACCTGTTAAATTGCTTTAACCTCAGCTAGGAAAATCTCACTGCTTCTTTCCTTCGCTCTGTGATATTTATACTTCTTCATATTTGACATGAACAGTCACTCACACGTTCCATGAGTGGCGTCTTCAAACTACAGTCGGGGTGAGGACACGCTTACAGAGGCAACTGACCCGAGGCACAGTTTTTCGACCTCTCGCTCAGCAGTGATGGCGTCGGCTGTCGGACACTGTTCTCATGTGAGGAACCTCATCAGTCCAAATCATATATGGCTTCACTCTGACTGATGAAATATTGTCAGTGTCTGTCAACTGTATGAGAAAACCTTATCTCTTATATATGGTTAAATTAATTTGCATCAGCAAACAAGATTGGTAATGCCATTCAGGTCACTTCTTTAATTAACTAATTACAAAAAGTTAAATAATAAGTGAGATAAGATAAGATAAAACTTTATTGATCCACACATGGGGGAAATTTAGATAGACAGGAAATAGAAATATAAAAAGGCAATGGAATAAAAAAATTTTTTAAAAAGTATTATATGCACCTCTTCACTCTAGTGGTTTGTTTGAAATGATGATTGTACAAGCAAGTAAACACCACAGTAAACTACTTTCACTTTATCCAATTCTTTTTGAAAAAGTACAGAGCGACAAATCAAGTGACTTTCTGGACAAACCTTACTTTCACCTCAGCACACCTCCCTCTGCCCACTCTGTTCAGTGTGTGGCACAGAGACAGTGCAGGAGTTTGTTACTCAGGCAGAGATTTCACTGAGTTCACTGCGACAGATAAAAGCGGCTCTGAAGCCCTGAACTGTTCTAGACGTTATCCAGATGAGCTGCATGTGTGAACCCAAGTGACTGAATCAGGTGAGCCAGACATTGAATGGACAAAGTCTGTGTAGTGACTGAGAATCCACAGCGAGTTAGCGGGAGTTTGAATTTGAAAAATCTGAATGATCGATTCTGCTGAAAAACCATCCTGTAAAATCCATATAGTTCCAGCAGATGAGAACATGCGGGAGCAAGCTTCAGTTGTGTCCTGACTTTGTGAAACTGAGGACAATGTCTCTGAATGATTCTGAGGACACTGTCTGCAGATCATACGTGAAAAAAAGTACGTGTAAGTAAGAAACTTTCCTCAAAACAGTAAAACATTAACAAAGAGTAATAAAAAGCAAAAAGATAAAGAAACTGACACGAGAGAAAATGTAGGACAGGACACAATGACATGTCATGAATATTCATATTTGACTATTTGACCTCGACAACTGTTTTTTCACTCACAATTTCACATATTGACCAAAAAAGGTCCAGGTTCTGACCTATTCCTGTTATGGTTATGCCTAAGTGGATGGAAACATTTGGTTAAGATTGTACCTCATGTACTTATTCTGACTTAAACGTAAACCAGCATCTTTAAGCAGCCTCAAGACCACGTGGGCTGTGGGACTCAAATCTGTATTTTGAACACTCACTCGTCCACCCAGACCTCCTCGTGTTACTGGAGTACACATTTCAGGGATTGAATCTTCAACTAAACATGTTTGGCAGAGGTAGAGTAAGTCCCAATAAAATCAGGACAAAATACTAGGAAACTGGGTTTTGGTCTTGGAGTGGAAGCGGCACAAGAAGAGCTAAAGTATAGAAAAGGACAAAAATAACAGGTCTCAGAAAGAGAGAAGAAAGGAAGGTTAGAGGAAAAGTCAGGAGTTAAGAAGGAAGGAAAGAAACAAGTGGGATCTGTAGTATTAAAGTGGATGCTGTGATTGCCTTTGATTTAAAAGAAATATAACTTTGTTTGAAAAAGCTACTGAGAGAATTGATTAAGCCTCAAGGCCACAGAATACAGTCACTGAATAATTCTAATGGTTCAGCACCTCAACCACTCGGGAAAATTGCCACTCAGACCTGTTTTACTGATGAGAATTGCTTGACAACATAATGACTGCAGTGTGAACAGTGGAATAAATTCAGAACAATATTGATGGGGGTTAAAAAAATCACCCTGAAATTATGTCGGGTTTTTTTTCTTCTTCGTCTTTTCTTTGGTATGCTGCGGAATTGTCGCACCATTCAGCTCACTTTTTGAAATGCACACTTCCATCTTAGTAACACACACTGTCGCACAGACACACAAACAGCGGGGTCAGGTGCTGCACTCGGATATGAGGACGAGTTGAAGTGGTGCCCCCCTCACAACTGAAGGTGATTAAGTCGCCTCTGCTTATCTTCTGATGAACACGGAACGAACCCTGCTTGTGTGTGTGTGTGTGTGTGTGTGTGTGTGTGTGTGTGTGTGTGTGTGTGTGTGTGTGT